ATTGAGAAAGAAATAAATTAGTATATTACAGCTTACTTCTTGCCTTAGATACATAAAATACCATTTTATTTATGTTTAGACTTAAATTCAAAAATAGTACTCTCCAATTATTTGCATTGTTTCTTCTTATCATAGTTATTTATTTGGAAAAAAATTATGGTTCTGAAAAGAACCGATTTGTGTTTGATTAAGTATGTTCCTACTTAATACTGTTTTGGGTTTAGGTGCTTTTGCATTGAGCCTAGTTTATTTGATTTCTTGGTTTGTTCTGTGATTACAACCATCGACAAGAGACTATTTTGTCTGCTGTTTTAGATTTTTCCACTCGATTGAATTTTTCCAAAAATATTTTCAGCTGCTTTCAGGTTCCCGAGTGGAGAGTCTTACCACTGAAATTGTGGATTGGATGGCCAGGGGCAGTCTGGATAAAACTGGTATTTGAGAGCACGTGGAAACGTGGAAAAGGTTGTAATGCACTGTCTGTAATGCACAACATGGCGTAACCTGTTTCGGATAGAGTTTATATGAACTTTTCTTTTTAAATGCGTCAACGATATAATTTTATTGGACAATATTAATATAATTTCTATATTACTCAAAAAAATTTATCCGGAGCTAACAGTTCCCACCCTATGAAATTCAAACAATTAAAATACAATCATCCTTTACCCCTGTGCTGCTTGGCGATAACGCCAAAGCTCTCAGAATTTCTGAAAAGCTGCAAAGCTTATAATTGATTGGTTATTGGCATAAACAAATTATTATATGCTATTACACAAATCTTGATTTTTTAAACTATCTATATGATTGTAGATTTATTAGTTACTAGAATACTGTCTTTCTAAGCAAGACAAAATTTAAATTTTGTCAATATCGGTTTATCAGTGATGTGATATCCAGGGTGTTGCTTGTCTTTATCTATCTTTATCTCTGGTTACGTGCATCACGTGTTTTTCGAAAACTTGAGAATATTAAAAATCCATATTAATCGATGCGATAAAATAAATATGAGTCAAAATATAAAAACCGTGCTTGTGCCTCAGTGGTATGATGTGTCTTCAAGACGGTAATTACGGTATAATTATGGCTTAAAACCCCGCAAACATGTAAAGGTATGTTGGTGTTTAAATTAAAAACATTTGATTATTTTATTATTTCTTGTTCTAAACATACAGGTGATACCGCTGTTCTGGACTTGAAGCATTGAAGGTGCTAGGGATCACCAGATCTCCAGATCCAGTGAGAAAACCACACACATGAGACATGTTAGAGACATTATCTGTATTTTTTTATTTTTACCAGTTTGATTTTGGTTGATTTATATTTTGCGATAAGCATGTTTTCTTGGATCGAAGGAAAGCAACAACAGTAAAATGAAAGTAATGTATCAATGCAAATTGCTATACCTAACTGTATTTCTACACAATAGAATAGTCTATCAATGTTAAACTATTAACTATATTTTGTTGTTGTGACCAATATTAAAATTTATAATTGCTTATACAATTTTTGTTAAGAGCATATTGCGAAACACTTTAATTGATCGAGAGCAAAGTGAAAGGGCAAAGGCCACAGAGCGGGAACATGTAAGGAATATAAAATAATAAGTGCAGTTTTTTAGATAAAGGTTTGTGTTTTATCTCACAGTCACACATCATTGCCACAACGGCAAAAATGCTGAAAATGTTAATTTAGATTTTTAGTCTGTAGTTATAAATTATATTTTAATTTATTTATTATCCATTTAATTAGTTTTACATTAGTTGTAAGAAACTCTTGATGTTGAAAAATTACATCAGTAAATACTTAAATATGTGAATAAACTAATAAGATGAAATAAAGGATCGTTTTTCTTTCGTTACATATATGTATGTATATTCCCTGAACATACACATGCATATTCACTGAACATACCAGGTACATTCCCAGAACATACACATGTACATTCACGGAACATACCATTGTCAACAACAAACTATTGTCTCAATATTCTCACATCCTTCCGAACAACTTTCAATAATCTTGTCCCAGCATATTTTCAGTGCCCGAAACAGGCCTTTTAAAGTGTAATCCGGCTGGACTCAAAATACCCTTCAGCCCGGTTTCAGGTACAAATGAATATTTATCATGGGCCAAAATAACATGTGCCTAAAAATCACAGATACTTGGAACAGGTACGAGCTTGGAACAGTCACACATGGAACCTGTGCTGACAAATACTGGTTTGTGCCATCTCTACACGTGACACGTGATATTTATTAAGGTTATGTAGTACCTCAATGTCAGATAAATATTTAACTTCAAAAACTTGAAAGCAGGGCGAGGTTGCCACTATTCCTATTTTTGATACTGTTGCCCATGCTGCAATGAATACATACGTAGTGTATCATGCTGTTGCCCATAGGAAGGACATTTTGTGGAATATTCAACGTTTTCTTTAAATAACACGTTTGTTGTTTTTTTTTTAATTTGACAGAGCTTCGGTTCTATGCAAAGAATATCAAGTTCATTGCTTTAAAGGGCATTTTCCACTTATACGTTCATCAACTATATTATTTTCTTATATTTAATATAAAATAAACCTTACAGGGCAGAAAGACCGATTGGGTCGATAGCCCTTTTTCCGTAGGAAATAAAGATTATTTATATATATATATATGTAAACCTTACATCAGAATATAGGATTTCTTTTAACGTAAAACGTTGGGCACAGTTTGGCAACTCTGCGGTAAGTTGTATTTAAAACTGGATACAAGGTACTTATACACATGATTCAATGAATACAAGGTAGGATATTGCGTCGATTTGCATGACGTCAGTGGAAATCACTGCGTTTCGTGATTTTTTCCTGTCTGCTTTTTCCTGCCTGTGATTAAATATAGCTTATTTAGTCTTTGTCACATTTAATTATTTTTTTAATAAATCTTCTTTATAATTACAAAATACTTTGCAGCAGGTCTTACACCTGAAAATGATAAGAAACTAAAATTTATTTATTTTGTAGGCTGGTGTGCAATAAAGTATAGCGTTTGTTTTTGGGAAGTACCCCAAAAGTTCGAATTGCAAATTCCTCTCATAATCATCATTTTTCGAAATGCTGAGAGCATATTCGTATCCGTACGACAACAAGCATTCTCCCATAGCTTGCACACGTTCTATAGTAAACTTTCCAACTACTAAACGCAAATTGCTCAGTTGTTTATCTACAAGATTCCCAAACACGCCCAAACGCATTCACCCTATGATTCAATGAATTCATTGAATTATATAATGAATTAATTGTTTCGCTTGGCTCTACCCGATTTTACAAATGACTCTCTGGCAACACAGCAAACTAAAACGCTGAAAATCAGATTTTATAAATACTTTTTTAGGGTATTTTTCTTCGCAATAAGCCCAAATCAGGCCTCAGACGCGATTTTGAAAGTATTGAGCTATACAACAATGCAAACCATATACTCATATAACTTTCCACTTTTGCACTATTGCGTTTTAAATTCAATGAAAATCTGTCTAGGTTACATGCATTTTAAATGGGATCAGCTGTTCACTTTATCAAAGTGCTACCATGATTTTGAAAGCATTGAGCTATGCAACAATGCAAACCATATACTCATATAACTTTCCACTTTTGCACTATTGCGTTTTAAATTCAATGAAAATCTGTCTAGGTTATATTCATTTTAAATGGGATCAGCTGTTCACTTTACCAAAGTGCTTATTACTTTACTACTTACCAAAATTCATTGTATCATGACTTACACATGATACTAAAATTAAACTGTTAGTTTTGGATCATGGTACTTATACGTATACTAAGTATAGTAGTATGGAGTTCAAAGTTCAAAGGTACTCAAATTTTCTGAAATGTGGAAACCTTTAATTCATCTGAAATGTGCAAAGAAATTTATCTTTTTGTCTTTTTGTTTCTGTTTTAAGCAAAAATTACATAAAACTGTGATAACCTTCTGTGATCTGTGGTTTTAAGATGCACAGTTTAAAAGAATCCGTTACACACTTCCGTCATTTTTGTCCGTATTTACTTTATATTAATTTTATAAAAATACCGTTTTCCTAACCTAGCTTTTAGCTTTCCAGCAGCTCGTTAGGTCCTCGTCTTTATCTATGGTTGTGTTGGTAAGTTTCCTCGCAGATTTCACTTAAGTTGCTGTTAAAATTAACTCAGAACTTCTTTGATAACAATAACAATAAAATGGGGTTATTTACTTTGTTGTGTTTGTATTTTAAGTCATGAGTTCAGACGAGTGCGATTTAAAAGATGTTGAAGCCAATTGGAATAAAATCGAACGCGATTTGATAAAGGTAAGTAACGGTTTAATTGACCACAGTACCTAAGTGTTACGAATGTTTTTTTCGCTGTTAGGTCTTCGCAATTGTTCTTAAAGCTTTTAATATCATATATCAATAATAAATAATAATAGGTGAAAATTGAAAATCAAATAATTTTCTTTCTTTGCCTATATATTCCACGATTTCGTTCTAAATAGAGGATCTCGATCATTTTTAGGTTGGACTAAAAGATGGTTTATCAGACGGTCGCGACTCAAATTTTCAAAGTAGTTTTGATAAAGGCTATGCAGATGGATTCCAAAACGGGTTTCAGTTAGGAAAACTACAGTTTATGAGGTATGTGTAGCGCCTACATTTTATGACAAAATCATATTTAATTTTTCCCACAAATATTCAAAAAATTCCGTTTTGTTTTAGGAGTGTAACAAATAACTTGGCTAGTGCAGAAGCAACAGGAATTCTAGATAAAGCCAGCAAAGGAATGTGTATTGTATGTACTACCGGGAAAGACAATGAAAATGTAGCGGAAATCAGAAGGAAGCAATCAGAATTGTTAGCTTTGACCGTTGCTGGGGCTTTAAAATACTAGACTTACTAAAGTAGTCTTAATATAATAATATATTTATTATTTGAATGGCAAACTTTTTAATTCGTTCAAAACGTTGGTTTTTTTAAATGACAACAGTTATTAATTAAAGCAAAAAATAATTAAATCTTTAAACAATGGAAAATCCTTCCAAAAAAAATGAGTGACGTCAGAAATCTGCAGTAATGAGCTGCCCCTTTTCGTATATTTTGACATAAGCAACGTTGACAAGACACGTCAGCTTATTTGACAGAAACTGGTTATGTGACTTTCTTGTTTTCTTTCCTACAAGCCGGAAAATTTCCCAATCCCTGGTTTCGTGGCGTAGCTTGCTAAGCAAAACTCAGTTAGATAGTAGAAAATGCATTACTGGATAGTCTGCTTGTTGGGTGGTTCACTTCTGCTTTCAGTTAATTGCATATCTTTCAACTTAGAACCCAACACTCAGAAGTGTTTGAAGGAAGAACTGCAGGGCAATGTGCCCGTTATTGGAGAGTTTGAGGTCTCAGAGCAGCCTGGACAACGGATAGACTATCTCGTAAAGACATTGGCATTTTAGCTTAGAAGCTACTATACATGATTAATTTACAGGTGACTGATTCAAAAGGCCATATTTTAGCACAAAGGCAAGATGTCTCAAAGGGAAAGTTCTCCTTTAATACCGAAAGTTATGATACGTATGAGATTTGCTTCTTTTCTCGCGTTCTTCAAAGTAAGTCGAGCATATTCAAGAAAACATCAGCTTCCTAAATGGGTCAAATTTAATTATTTTTTAGATCAGAAAGGAATTACCCAACTAGTATCTTTAAATACAAAACATGGAGTGGAAACCAAAAACTATGAGTCTGTAAGTAAACGCAGCCAGTTACAAAATATAATGTGAATAAATCAATTAATGGAAGTTATCAAAGTGGAGTAAACAGTACGTCGCTTATAAACTCATTCAAAACAAGAAATGTGTAAAAATATCTTTCTGAAACCAAGTGTTTTCAAGACTAGCTACGTTTTTGTTTTTTCGCTGTTGCTATTAAGAAGTCCATAAACATGCCTAATTTAAGTCGATCTCTTAAACGCGGTCTACGTATTTTGTAAAGAGCCCGCAGTATCACGGTATTTTTTTACATTCTCAGAGGTAGTTGCTAAGGCATCGAATGAAGAAAGATCCAAACACGATGATAGGTAGTCTTTAAACAGGAGAAACTAATCAATTTACGCAAAAAGTCTGTTCAAAGAACTGTTATGGAGAGAGTAAATCTTCTCTTTTTTAAGTTCGTAACTAAATACTCTTAAATCGAATAATAATCAATTTGCATGAATTCTACTGCTCAATTTATTATTCCAGTTTGCGGAAGCAACCAATTTAAAGCCAATAGAGTTGGAAATTAAAAAGCTAGAAGATCTTTCCAAATCAATAGTAGATGACTTTGCCTTTATGACGAAAAGGGAAGAAGAAATGACCGACACAAATGGTAACTAAAAGCACTTTTACATGACCTCAAAAATATATTTTTTTATTTGTTTAGAATCCACCAACAATAGGGTGATGTATTTCTCAATATTTTCAATTTTTGTTCTGCTGGGTCTGGCAGTGTGGCAAGTCTTATACTTAAGAAGATATTTTAAGACAAAAAAGCTGATATAGTACGACCTATTGAATGAGTTTGGAATATTTTTGTTTTCAATTTGAAGGAAAATTGTTTTACTGCACTAAATCTAATATATATTTTTTAGTTCCAATTAAATTTTTTTTATACGCCAATCTTTTTATTTGAATGCAGGAAGAGAAAGGGCAGGGGGATAAATTTTGTATTTCTAAGTTATACGATTTTTATACGGGCTTTTATTATCGATAACCGAATGGCATTTTCCCCTGATATTCTGCGAATTTATCAGGATCTGTATACTTTTTTGGAATATTGATACTCTTAAATGTTAGAAATGTTGCTGATTAAGTCAAATCATTGGTTATCCCTAAACAAAAATCTCAAATGACTATAAATAAGTGTATATTCCTAAAAGGGGTGTCATGATTTAGGTGAAAACTATTAGGACTTTCAGCTTTTCTTTGGATCAACCACAATCATTAACACAACTGTTCATGTGCATTCTGCATTCTGGTTATTACCTCTGTATTTGTCAAGCATCCTGTAAATAAGCGTGTAAAGCAGAAATAAATGATTTTGTTAACTCTATGTTTTAATTTTGTTGAAAAAGATAACAACAAAGCCACTAATTCTATTCTAAACTTAGTACACCCTCTTCGCCATCAATTTTGGTATCTTTTCCATGTTTAAGTGAAAATTCCCATTTAGTTTGAGCAAATAAAATATCAGTTACGAGAAATATTTGCGCGATGGCATAAGCCAGAGTGACGCCAAAATAGAAATTAGCATTAGCAGAAGCATTGTAAATCCATAAGTGCCATAACACTGGTGCTAGAGAGCTGGTTATAAGCAAAATAACGCCGACAACAAAGCCCTGCTGGCAAAATGAGAACAGATGTAAAAAGTTGGGCAAAAGACTCAATGCAAAGCCCAAATCACTTGAACATGGATAAGACTTAAAGATTGCTATTAGAAATAGTAAGGCTACAGTGAGAACAAAAGGAGTATTTCTAAACCTGATGGACAATGGCACTAAATATAAAATAGTAGCGTTAATCTGAAAAGAATAAATAAACAATTCGCGAAAATGGTCAAACATTTCGGTGAAAAAATACCAAAATAGTCCGATATTTGGTTGTAAATCTGGTACTGATAAAATAAAGCCGTATACATTGGCTGCGAAGTTAAAACTAAGTTTGGTGTTACACCACGTAATTAGAATTAAGAATGCTATAAAACTAACAGCAACTGATGCGGCTTTGAGTTGGCTCTTGTGCACTTTAGCAAAATATGTGATAAGCGGGAGAATCAATATTACAGGATATAATGATACACATGAGCATATTGCTAGAGCAAAACTACTAATCAGAACATTACCAAAAACCATCCCGAAAATGAACAATGACAAGAAAAAGTTATGTATTCCCATAGTGGAAAATCCCACACAACCCAATAAACTGTAAGGATTAAATAAGATTGACATCAAAACATAAATAGTCACTTTATCAGGAAAATCCTCTCTTGGCAAATATTCCTGTACGTCCTTTGGAAATCTACCTTTTTCCTGGTGCTCTTCAAGAAACAGCTTTGCATACCTTTTGGTAGCGAAGTACAAAAGCACTCCGGTTCCAAGATCGAAGGCAATGAACATGAAGTAAACATTTTTGAACATACACTCGTAAACCATTTGGTAAAATTTCACTGCTAAGGGCATTTCGTGCAACCGGTCCCCGTCATATGGATTAATGTCTTTAGAAAACAAAAATGAGCCCTCTAACACTCTTTTCCATGAATTTAATGGGGTAGATATCGTAACATGGTTTGCAATAATTCCTTGGTATTTGGATGTCATCAATAAGTAACGTAATACTGCGGCAATTACTAGCAAAGTTACTGGGGCAGCAGCACACGAGGGTTTTGATTCATTCTTTGGTTGTTGTTTCCGCATTTTTGCAGATTTTAATGCAGGTTTTCTTGTTTGTTTATAAGCCTCCACCATAGATGAAGACAAGTGAGAGAGTGAGTGACATAGATAAAGACAAGTAGTGAGACCCCTACTATTAATGGGGTTATGTTAAACCGTGTAGTTAACGTAATATGATCGACTCTGACGTCACGAAAGAAAGACAGTTTCCAGCTTCTATTTTTGGCGACCTTAAGATATGTCCTTAATCCTTTTCTAAGCGCTAAAGCAGCATCCTAGTTTCAAATGCTCCATTCAAATACATGACGTGATCGGGTAGAAAGCATCCAACAACGGATTGTGACTCATTACTCTGTTCAAATAATATACAGATATATACGAAAGTGAGCTTGGAAAAAGTTGCCCGAGTTTCCGACGTCACAGTCTATATACCTTTGCAAGTACATAAACAGCAGAGGTTATAGAAAATAGCCCTGTTGCAGCTGTGCCAAAGATAAAGAAGAAGAAGACATAGAGGTTAGGAAATATTTTCAATACAACTTATTTCAAGTTGTCTCATACCACTTACATTTCGGGGTCTGTGCGGGTGCACAGGCTTCTAGGCGATAGTGTTTAATAGTTGCTAATTTAAAAAGACTATGTCGTCGGGAAGGAAATGTAAAAATTGCGGGAGTTCTAGCATTGAAGTTGATCCGGCTAGGGGCGATGCAGTGTGTACAGACTGTGGTTCGGTTCTGGAAGACAATATAATTGTTGCTGAGGTCCAATATGAGGAAGGGGCTAATGGCACGTCGAATGCCATTGGACAGTTTGTATCTTCCGATTCAAAAGGGGGCTCTACGAAGTTTGGGGCGTGTAAGTATCTCTGTTGGTTTTTGAGACATAATTGCAATTTTCTGGAGGTTTGAAATTGGCCATCAGAGCTTTCACTCTCGCCCCAAGTAGGATCCAGCCTTGCACTGTGGTCGTTTTTGTCCTATTGTGCTCCAATACAATCGCTTACTGTCTCTGCTCATGTACAGCTGGCTAATGACCGATTTTACTTTCTCGACATTTAGACAACTCCACAGGACAACTCTTAAATGTTCTAGTTGATAGTAGGAGTTGCGATGACACAATGCGGCCCATTTAACAGCTGGGCACTCATGAAATTCTTATTCCTACGATTTTGGCAATTTTTTGTGTTGATAGGTACAGCAAGCATAACTGCATTTTGGGCCAAAGTGTTACGTTTTTGTTACAAAAGCAAATATGTTGTTATTTTAGGGCCGATTAAATGAATACGTTTAGGTATTTTGCTAGAAATAATTTAAATTTATCACTGGATTAAGCACAGGGCCATTCCTACGGCAGCCCGTGTGCGAGAATAATTATACGGCCCTTACCAATTAAAATCTCAAAAATATTTCTACCTTCAACAAAACAAGGAATTGGGGACAATAAGTGATGACAAAAAATTCTAAAACTGATCAGTTTTTCGAGTTTTTAGGTCGTCGTAGACTGGAATTTTTTCTTGACGTTTTGCAAGCACGAAAACTCGCCAGTTTCAAGCAATGTCCGGGGAAGATTGCCTCTTGTTGAAAATGTTTAATTTTTCAATTGCCAACTTTTCTTGCTGCAAATTCCGTAAAAACTCCTGATTCGTAAAGTTTTTCCTGCCCCTTCCTGGCATTGTTGATCTTAAATAGTTTTCCATTAGTTTCGCTTTGGTAAAAAGTTTTCCAGTAAAAAGTTTCCATGTCTCCATGTCTAATCATCATATTTCCCAACAAAAGTTTTAAATAATTTGCAAAGAAAGCAAATATGCTTACTTACAGTCTTTTAAATTAGAATACATTTGCCAAACTTGTCTCCGTTTCCTGACTGTCTTTTATAATATGAGATTGTTTCATTTTATTGTTCTTTTTTAAGTTTTCTTCTTCTGTATTGGTTGCCAAAAACATTTTTCGATTATCAGAAATTTGCCAAAAAATGAACACATGATACCTACCCATAACAATTAATTGGTTGACATTCCACATACTTTTAGTACAAAACTGATAAAAATGCCTTCAAAAGACCAAAAAATTATCTCACTGTCGTAATTTGAACATTTAAAATTCGCTAAAAATTGAGGTTGTTTTGTGCTAAAGAGTGTTTGGGGTTTTCAATTATAATAAGGTCCGGTAAAAAAGTCTGTAGGTTCATTATTTTGAGGCATAAAATTGATTGAATTTAACTTTCCTTCAGATATTTATAGGATTTTAAAAATTCGTTTTTAGACAATTTTTTCCCCTCATTTTTTTAACGTTTAAAATTTGTGAACCACCTGGATAAATTGTGGTCGTTTGGAGAGAGAAGAGACTGATTTGGGTTTTGGATTTGGGAAAATTGTAAAAATTTTCAGTTAAAAACGTTTTTAAACCCGACAAAAATGTCTGCTTGTTTTATGCAAAAGAAGATTTAGGGTTGAAATTCAAAACTTTCAAGCTGGAAACGTCCAAAAAATGTTGTAATGTGTGTACATTTGAAAGAGAAAAGCATTAACTTTCTTCCAATTTTTGAAAATTTTAATGTTTTAGAAAATTTGTAAAAAGGATGTATTTGAAGTTTGAAAAGCCCCGAGACGAAAAATGAAAAAAAAAATCACTCTAGTCGTGAGTTAAAAAACTTGATCAAAAAGTAGGTGCATTCAGCAGTACAGATTTTGCGACTTACTTTTGCATATTCACTTGCGGTAAATTCATTTCAAAAACTATTCAGCGTGTATTTAAAGACAAACTTTACCTGCGCTTTAAAACTGGATTTCTGGCGGAACAAATTTATCAAACAGAATGTCTTAAATAGATTTGATTTACAAAATCCGCTTCTAGCTAGTATTTATTATCTCGTTTAATATGTATTTTTTTCTAGCGTTTCATGTGGGAGGTGGACTAGAATCAAGAGAATTTACTCTTCGCAAAGCTCGTAACGGAATAACGCAACTGGGCACTCAGCTGAAGCTTAACCAGCACTGCATCGACACAGCATGCACTTTTTTTAAAATGGCTCTTTCTTCAAACTTAACAAGAGGCCGAAAAAACTCACACGTTTATGCTGCTTGTGTGTATTTGAGTTGCCGCACCGAAAAAACCGAACGTAAGTCTTCAGTTCATACGTTTCAAGTATAAAAGTTTGTTATACCTCCAACGCTCCAACGCTGAATTGCTCGGTATTCATAGATTTTTGGTTCTTAATGTCGATTAAATTTTAAACTGCTTCCTAATTTTGATACAATCTGTATATACTTGGCACATATGTCCATTAGATGACAAACTAATTTTTGAAATGTAGTCGGAATTTTCGTAAATGCCTTACGATGTTCATAACGTAAAGAGGTCGGACTCTTCACCCCAAGTGGAATTTCTATCCGGTCTAGGATCCGCATTTGTAACCATTACCACGACATATCCAATTACTAAGTTAATTTATCGGCAGATTTTGATAAATGAAAATGTGGCAACCTCTTTGAGAATAATGAGAAACGAGGGTCCGAGACTGTTATATCGTGGGGCGCTGCCACCAATGCTTCAAAGATGTGTAGCTCTTTCATCCATGTTTGGAATCTACCGGGCAGCTAGTATCCCTTTAGAAACTCTACATATGAATGAATATATGGAGAAAGTGTCTGCATGTGTTCTTTCGGGCACCTTTGAGGCATTTTTCATGCCCCTGGAAAGAATACAACTGTTACTGGTATCCTCACAATTCAACAACAGATTTAAAAACATGCTACATGTAGTGAAAGTTATAGTAAACGATTACAACTGGAGGGAGTTCTATAGAGGATATAATATTATATTGTTTAGAAATATAACTTCAAACACATTCTTTTTCCTGACCAAAGACGAGTTGAGTAAACGCATTGAAGTGAGTGATGTAGGTTTTAAAAGAAATATAGAAAATTTCCTCTTTGGATCCATAGTTGGAAGTTTCATGACTTTGCTGTTTCATCCCCTAAAAGTAATCAAAGCGAACATTCATAAGCAGTTAGGCGGAAAATTCAAAACAACAAAGGAAGTAGTTCAAGAAATTTACGGATCAAGTGGAGGAGGCATAGCAAACTTCTATAGAGGCGCATTAATGAGCTTTGCCAGAGCCCTGCTGTCTTGGGGAATTACCAATGCGTCTTATGAATACATTAAGAAACAAATTAGTTAATAGTAAGCATGTCCAAATTAAAATCTTTTTAAATGGACCGAACCAATTACATTTTACTGAAGATCTGTATTATCATTTATTAGATTTACTAATTGATATTAGTGATGTGCTTCAACTGTGCTGCTACGAATTGGGGAGAACCTATTTGAAGCTTGCTCAAGCTCTGTGTATAAGCGTGCCATCAGTGGGTGAGTGTTTCAATGATTTTTTAGTAGTTTAGTTTTAGTACAAGCCATAAAAACGCTTTTCACATAGCAACAAACCAGGAAAATATTACTAAATCAACTAGTAGGTTTCGGGGTTGTAAAAAACTGAAAACCTTATTAATCTTAAGTTTAATACATTGCTCTGCTGAAATATGTTTTTCAATGGTAGTTACATCATACTTAGTTTAGGATCGATGATAAATCAGTTCAACAACAAAGACAAAATATCGAAATGTACACAAAACATAAACTTATCGCTAAAGTGCAATCGAATCCTGACGAATCGAAACGAATGATCTTATTACTACTTTTGGTTTTTAAGCTTTACCCCTAAAATACAATAAAAAAGGTTTCAAAATACCAAGCAGTCTTTGAATGCGGAGCACAAAATCAGACTAAGCTTTTAAAGGTCACAGCACTTAATATAAAGTTGGAATTAAAAAGCAGTGGTGGTTAACTTGAACTGAAATATTTCCAATTAACCACAAACAAATAAATCAGCTACTGTGAATCAGAAGGAAAATGTATAAAATCAAGTGAAAACGGATTTCGCAAATAATCTTGCGCTAGAAAATCAAAGGTCCAAATGTAAAACGCGTTTATCAAGGGTGTTTGAAATTGCCCTATTTTCTTTACGGGCTCGAACAAAAATAGGTGATAAATACATATAACATAAAAAGACGACATCGAAAGAAACTGAAATAAGAGCAACCGTAAATGTATTTAACAGTAGAAAATAATTTTCGAGAAACTTATAGCTGAATGAAATTTTTCGTTTCAAATACTGAAAATGATGAGGAATTTTAAAATGCCTTTTGTAATTATTTGCGAATATTTTCTATTTAAATATCATAATATTAACTGACATACATACGTGCGAATTCGGTTAAGATTTTATCGGCATTATTTGCTCTACTTGTGCAGTTTGTATACATAATATACATTGACTTACTTTTCGCTTTTTGCTAAATTCGCATGATTAGCCCTCATCTGTGTCATAATATTCAGAGGATTCCCAGAGTAGAGATCAATAATTTGCCAGCAATATGGAAATTGAACGTACCAATTGTATATATACACAATTTCAAGAGGTCCGACTAAATGCTACATTATTGCTAATCTAAACGTGACACACTCTCAGTGCTCGTCATGAGTAGGGCCGTAAAAAATTAACTCCGGAATTTGGCCTCCTTGTACGCCCGTACCGTTCGTACTTTCTGAGGAACACTGAAACTGGAAAGTCACTTGTCCAACTGTAACTTCACTCATGCCTTCCTGTCCAAAATAACTTAACTCGCCTCCATCTAACACCGCAGATGCTGTATAAAATGTTTCTGGTTCAACCTGTAAAATTTAACATTAGCCCTTCGAGAATTATGGGTTCTGGACTGTCCTACCTGTATAGGATTGTCAAAATACACATGAAACGTATTGCTTGATCCATCTGAGAAGAACGTGTTGTTGTTCTCAGCCAAAACTCTTCCTAAGCGTTTCAGTTCAATTTTCACTGAGTAGTCAGCCGCACCATTCGAAGATCCATATAATCCAAAACCAACAACAAAAATTCTTCTATCCACCGAAAACTGAATACTGTCACATCTTCCTCGGTATCTCCATTGATTTGAACGATAAGCGCACGATTGGAAACGATGACAAATCTAAATGTGGAAAGTTGCAAAGACCAATCGCTCTAATCATTATTAATTCATTACCTGACTTTTCAGTCCTGCTCGGGCTTTAATGGGGTACTGCAGGCTTGGCTTGTTATTGGCGGTGAAATGGAAAAATATATCAATGGTTTCTTGTTGCGTTAAAATTCCTTTTTGAGCGGCCCCGTTTGCAAATTCCTCCAGCGTCATTGTCGGTATTCTGATTAAATAAAGAGCATTGCCTAGCATGGCTCGTTTATTTTGAGGAGTTGCTTCCATGTCTCTGAAATTAATTTTTTAAATTACATTGCTGATGATTTGGAAACCATAGTACAAGTATCATTAAAAACGCAACTTTATTACATTTATTAACGATCATTTTATTCAATTTCTGATCAACTTGCTGGTAACAGCCACTAGAAAGACTTATGAAAATGGTAAAATGGGCGATATACTTCTTATTGATTATGGTTGATAGTGAAGTGCGATTTAATTATCTCTATAATTGAACACTTTCCTTTCTTAAGAGAATCGTTATGAACCGTGCAGACTGTTACGTTAGCTGTTTTTTGTACGATTTCTTGTATTATATGGCCTTTGATTAAATATATTTTGAAATATGTTTAATGCACTAAAAATATGTCCGAGTCTTAGCAAACTCAAAATATTTTCCTAGAAAATGAATAAACCAGCCCTTAAAAGTTTCTGGTGTGTTTCGTCTAGACCACAAACGACTTTATGTATGTAAGTTTTTTCTTACCTTCTTCCGCATTCGGCAGCGGCCCAGTTTAGAGCAGCTTCTAGAAGGTTCATTTCCTTGCAGTTTAGAGTTTCACGACTTAATACCGACTCTAATGTGGACATATCAATGTCAACGAATCCTTCTGATTTGAGGGCCATTTCCGCCTTGAAAAAACAACATTAATTAATAAAGGAATTGCTTTATATACGTTTATTATTAATTTTTACGTGTTAGGTTTCCGGTCTGGAAATGCTACGATTGAAATATGAGGAGAAGGTAGAGGCGGAAAGCTAAAATGCATTTGTGCTTTTTTTTAAACGTATATTTTACAATGAATTAATACACCACCTTTTAAAGCACACAAATATCACAATTATTACATATTACACACATTAGTATCGATACAGTGGAATGTAGGCAGCAAATCCCAGAACCATTAAAAATACTTTAACTGATTGTGATTTTCAATGAATAGTGTTAGAAATAAAAGCAGTTAATACCTTTGAGTTTATTATATCACTTCAGTAAACAGTTTATTAGAGCACGTAATCTGATGAGCAGGCAAAGCACCTCCAGATGGTCCCTAATAAGCATGAATTTTTGAATGATTATCCCAAATCTTACAATTTGCATTTAGCGTAAATTCCAATTGATTTGCAAAGCGTTTATCAGGTCATTTTCGACTGCAAATAACCACCAAAACTGAAGTGACCTTTCTTATCGCAATTATCGCCATCTCCCATTTTAACGGTATCAAAGTCTTCAGTCAAGTCTAGGGAACTTAAGCTCTCTCTTACCTGAGCATCGATCACCTCCCAACAGCGTTGCATCAGCTCGGGCTCCTCAAATAGCCTGGATTGGCTGAGCAGCAAGCAAGCGTTTTTTGCAGTTAGACTAGTTTCGAGATAGTTTACACAAGCACGTGCCAAATGGGGCACTATGTACTTTTTCGCTACATATAATGTGGCTAAGACTGTGTCAGCTTCTAATTGTATTTCATCACAGTAGAGGTATCTGCATAAACAAACAGTAATTGTATTAAATTCCGCCAAGTTTAACCATTTTAAAACAAAATACATACTTGAGCAATATTAGAAATGCAGAGGGCTCAACGTCAGGAACTTCTATTTCTTCCTTGCATTCCGCCAATCCTCCATAGAACATGGCATAAAACACTGAGCTTCCAGTGGCCAGCACGTATTTATGTGCGGGAATTACCTGAGTGCAACCAGGAGATCCCACTACAAATCTGCAGCAAAAGTTAGTTGTTTCTTTTGCCCTGTTAATGTTGAGTGAGTCATCGTTACCTGATGTCCGCCATGAGATCGTTATTAAACATTGCTGCGTTTCTTTCCCGAACTGTCGGTTTTAACGCTTGCCAGTTAGGATCTGAAGTACCCCCTTGTCCAATGGGGGATGCCAGAGGAGGACTTGGTGGAGGCGATCCAGGATTGCTTGCTGGCTGCATCACCTGGAAAGGTTCCGATCGGTTAAACAATTCTCAATTAATCTGGAAGGATATGGCGAAAAAGCACGTGATGGGAATAGATTTTCTGCAAATGTATCGGGTGAAGGTCAGGATGCTTCAAGTGCTTCTTTTAATATTCGTTCTAATTTTATGGCCACTAACGTTCATCTGGAAAATGCACCTGACGATTGTTTAATTGTTTATCGTGTTTTTGAGTGTTTTGCAATTTTGGGCTTGGACCAAAGTATTATCATATTGATTTGATTTAATTGATTTAGATAAGGGATCAGTTGTAATAAGGTTTTGTCGTTGGTCTGTGAAAGTAATGAGTATTATTCTGCTTAAAAGCACCTATCCGAATTTTCTATATTAAAGCATATTCCGACTCAATAATAAAATGGAAAGGTTTATCGTCTTACCTGTAAGAGTCCTCCAGTATCTTTCTGTGAAACTGAGTGTAGATGTGAATGCGCTCCCTGCAGGTTTGAGGCGAAAGGTGGCGAATTGTTGAGTGAGCCATTTGAGAATACGTCTGCTGTAAATAGTTGAGTTTTACTACTAAATAATTTAAAAAGTCTTTATAAAGCGTTTACGAAGAAGAACAAATTGTTATGAGTTAATTTGGTTTAATGCTTAATAGGTTTTTATTTATAAAATAATACACTTTATTTATAGATGAAAAGTCCCCAAAGGCGTTTGGTTTACCGGTTTAAAACTCTATATTTGAAAAAAGTTCACAGGGGCAATCTATTTTGAGCATACTGAAGCATCAGGCTACAATAATCTGTAAAGTACTGAGAATCGATCTTCCCGGTTCGATAAATGACATTATCTTACACAATTTTCTCTCAACTTCAACTCTTTGTCCAGTACTATTTTGTTTCGGTCTCAACATTGATGCTGATCTATTTGTCTGTCTTTTTTTGTACTGATTGGAAATTGCGATGCCCGAAATATATTTCCGACAACTTGGTAGGTGCTAAATAGTTTTCGAAAAATTATTCTTTATTCAGATATGAAGTTACCGGGCCCCAATTGTGGGAATTTCCTATTTTGTAACCAATAACTGGCACATACAAGCACCTTATACTTATACTCAGTTTCTAGTTGTATTGCCACTATATTCATTGAAAGTAGAATATTTGGTGTATTCAAATTTGTATGCAAACAAATTTTTTCCAAATATTTCGACGTAAAGAGTAGGGCGACTTCAAATTGATCTAATAAATCTACTTTCTGTATCGTAACTACTTTAAACGCTATTAAAATTCTAGATTAATGATTTTAGCTGCTTCTTAACCCATTCAATCTTACTGAAATTGTTCAACTTGAAAACTCGTTTTTTTTGTGGTCATTGGCAGTTTTCGCTTTGCTCCGGTCATTATTTATTCTGTTCTATTCGTGCATGTGTGACAAACATACATTTTTCTTATTGTGACATTGTTTTAAGTGACCTGGTCGCTCTTGGCTTGTACGTACTATGTGTAAACTGCATGATTCACTGGCATTCACATTGATATTGACTTCGAAAGAGAATTAATCGCTTATTAGCTTCATTTTTTTTAAATCCAGTATTAAGTAATTAATTTTTTCTTTGCACAATACTACTTTAACTTGCTCTTAATCACTCATACTTCGTTTATGACAAGCTTAAATCAGTTATAACTCAAGCATGATCAAAATTATTTTATTTCATACTCTTTTTTTTTCACTTCTTTGATAGCAGTGCATTAAATTGTTACCAATTAAGTTTATTAGGGAATATAAATCTTTAAGTTTGCTACAAAGTGCTATGGAAAAATACTTAAAAAATCCGTTTCAGCACATTGTCTCCTTAAAACCACGTTCAATATCATCTACTGCTTTTGCCTTAAGACAGAATTATTATTTAAAAAAATCGATTGCATTAAAAAACTGCATTGAAAACTGTTTAAACTATAAGTAAATTAACATGCTCATTTCATCCAATATATTTACTAGATATTGATTCCTTTTTTTTTACTGGAAGGTGCTTATTAATATCTTATTTTGTCTGAAATATCTAGTCTATTATTTCGAATCTACGATATATTATTAACAACTTTTGTGTATAAAGTCATATATCTTACCTCCTACTAAAATAAACATATTACTAGACAATTCTACAGATAAAAACACTTTTTACTAAAATGTTCATTCGCAATTTCAACCATTGTCTTTTCATTACGAGAAAACGCTTTCCTTAATATTCGATGAGAAGCAAAGTGAAAACAACCCAATTTAAGAAATTACAGACTGGCAACTTTCAGGTTCTTGTTTTTTATTTTAGTAACTGTACCGGTTGTACAATATGTAATATTTAAAAAATAAAAAACTTCAGATTTTTGGGCAGCTACTCTATATAAAATAAATCCTTATTTACAGAAGTTAATAAATAAAGTTGAGTAGAAATTAGATGCTTCAGTAACGGCAGAAGTTAAGTATATGAGATCATACGTAAATTGTTCAGACACTTTCGTAGAATATATTTTTTTTAAATATACGGGGCGTGGCGTTCGGTTTAAAATAACAATCTCGACTAGACAATTCACGAATTCACAGTACACAGAAAGTATGTTGGAGCAAACGGAATAAAATTATTTTCGAACAGTCACTTTGCCTAAGAAAGTCTCAACTCAATTTTTTATATAGGTAATCTAATAGATACAGCATCATTTACATTTTTTGCCAAAAAAAGGCCTGTTAAAGTTCGAACTATTATCAACTTCCATTCTTCTATTGAATTCATCTTAGTATTGAGCCAATAAAGACGATTAACTCCCCCATATAAAACATTTTTAATGATTATTTTGTATTGTAATTTTTTTATTATCTTATTAATGTTTTATTAAATAACACAAGTGGCGACAATCGCTGGTTTTTTAAAATCCTTCAAAGCACGATCAGTTCAGCTGTGCTTCACTCGATTGCGATCTTCATGGTAAATGAATACGTTTCCATCCTCTTACTATCGATTCAGTTCTCGCGTATTTCAGAACCATTTCTCATCTTACCATTCATCCACCCGTTGGATTGAGAAATCATGCTTTCAAGTCTTTTGCTAGTTGGTTTTGTCGACATTTTCAAGTACAAATTGGACATTGCCATTATCTAAAATTCCGTTTTTTCCGAACTATCGTGACCAGTTCACGTTAGCACTAACGCGGCCGCCATGTTTTACTTGCGATCGTTTCCTCTTCATATTCTCCGCTAACAGTAAGCTTTTCAGAACCGCTGCATTGCCACATTTTAAATCATTCTGAGAAATAGGAAATTACTATTTTTTGAGTGCGATGCTAGTCAGTTAATTCAGCCCCAAAGTTCGCTCTAAAGACGTCCATATAGATGTGTGAAAAGCGACTTTTTTATGAGTTTTTCCTTAACAGGTTTTTAAGTTTAAGAATGGCACCAGTTTAATGAACTGCAAAAATTCATTAACTAATGTTTGCATGAGGAGATATGGTAATACGGAATGCAAACAGTACATTTGTTGAAACATTCTACGAGTATTAAACAAATAGAATGCGTTTGCGTTCTAACCAGTTCATTAAATGGAGATTAAAGGTTTATTCTGCTCATGATGCTGCTACACGGAAATGTGATAGAAACGTGCTTTGGATGGTTGTTTAAGTGGTCTGGTCAATGGGTAAAGTCCACAATGTTTATGACCTCAAGACATTTGGAGACCTTAAGAATTTAAAAAAAAATCATAATATTCACTATAACTCCCACCAGTGAAACTACAACATTTTATATAATACCTGGATTTCGCGACAGATTGAAGCTGTAGAAAACACAAACCGAACACGATTTTCAACGAAGCACCAAACTTTGCGAATTATATCGAGAGACATTAACTGATTTCTGTGTACGTTAAATTATTTTCTACAATTGAATGTATGCATCTGTTTAGCTCATCGTCATCAGCCAGTGGCGTGTGTAATTAATCTAAATTACTGTCTTAATTACTCAACAAATAGTGACATTCCTGTAGCGAGTCCGGCTGCGTATATGCATTTAGAATATTAGCTAATTGAAAACAATTAATGTCTAATTAAATTTTTGAAATTTAGTATTTACGAGTCTCCCTCGAAAGTACTGTTTCTTCAGTATTATAAGTTTTACTTCTTACGGGACCTTTACTGCTATCAACATGTGTTTTTCCTATTCATTTTACTGTTCATTTTACTATTCATAATTCGTACGCATAAAAATGTTTGCATAATGTACGAATGGTCGCATCAAAAAGTTTGCAATTCTGCCGCAAATTTTCTTCGACCAGTTAATTCTTGAGTATCATCTGATACGCTACTGATTAGCTTTAAATATTAAATGAGTTCGGGTACCCAGTAAATGCGTTTGTTAATTGCACATTAGTATTCTGCATTTTTCATGCATATAAAGGGTGTACGTAAGTAAGTAATGCATAGTATTTCCAACTGTTGTTTTACTTGCATATAATGAGGCCATTTGAATGATGGAACACCTCATAGCTTCTGATTAAAAATTGATTTTTCAACCGAGTTTTAGAGGTAATTTTGATATAAATTTGTACATTTATAATAAACAAGAATTAGTAACAGCATTTCGCAATAGCAAAGCTTAGTATCATTTCGATTTATTTATCATGTGTGCATATAAATTGGCCCACCGTGTATGTTAAGCATTAGTTAATAATTTCGTGTTGTAGGTAATTTTATAAAATAATGTAAAATTTCGTTTTGAATGTGTTGTTACTTAATTATTTAATTAAAAATTAATTATTTAACTTTTAAGCCTGATATTGGCTAAATTCATAAATTCATTCATCGCTCTATTTACTCACATATTTCCGTTTATGAAATCGAACAGAAATTCTGCGATTTTAAGGTTTAATATTAATAGGCTCCTACCAAATCCTCAAAAACGATAAGTATTTCCACTCAAACGCGCTGGGATTTGTTTGCTTTAACAACACTCAACAGATACAAAGTTGAACATTAATCAGCAGGACGCGTTTTATTTTGCATTGTGGAGATGCATAAAGCTTTGTGTGTTTTATGCAATTTATTGTTTTAATGCTGATTTGTGGGAATGTGGCTGCATCATACAAGATTAGTAATTTTTCCAGCTTTATGTGTTTATGTTAATTGCTTTTATGAACGATGCCTAGTTGAATCATTTACAAAGCAAAACTTTTTCAGAATATTTTAGTTTCATGGAATTCGGTTAATAACCTTTATTGTCTGCCAATTTTATCACTTACTTTTTTGTATTAACACTGACTTTTTGTGGTATATTTACTAATGGTTTTTTATGTTTATTTTTCCAATTTTAATGTTTTATGAATTAAGTGTGAAGCCTTAAACAGTAGATTTCTGACTAAATCGATGTCTAATTTCCGCTTCACGGCAACTTTGGGAAGCTGAAACAAAAAGTTATCTGTTCCATCGATCGATCTAAATAATTAATTTCTAATTATCCAGCAATGTACTGCTTGCAAGTAGCATCAGTATGCAGTTTAAAGTAGAACACTTACACAATTTTACCATTCACAGAAATATAAAAAAATAATTATCATAATTAATAGGTTTTAAAATTTAGTGAAATTATCCCCGCACGAATATGGCTAGTTTAGGATTTTTGAAACTTTTTTTTTGTGAGCAATAAAAGTATGTTTTCAATTTGGCCCAGGGTGAGTTTCCTTGATTTCTCTGAGGCAAACATTGTAGATATTTCCAATATTTCCATTACATCATTTTAAATTTTATCACAATAAACACTTTTAAAACAAACGAAATAACTTTTATCCGACGATACTTTAAAACCCGAAAGTTTGTATTCTGGTTTTATGATTTAATTTGACTGCAAACCATCCACTTCAAACAATTATAATAAGGATGCAGGAAATAAACATTTGCATCATTATTGTTGTGCCTAATTTATTTTTCATTTGCCGACAGTATCTTTACATCATAATTTAACGTCACTTATAAAGCAAAACAACATTTAAACGTTTATGGTCACTCCATTTAGATGCTAACCAGATACTATAAAAAATGTCCACTTTGTAGGAAAATAGTACATCAAAAACTTCCTCGTTTCAAGTCGATTGAAACAAAGCGATTTATATACATAATTTTAATGGATTTAAAACGAAATTATAATTTAAAATTATTCAAATGCAAGTTAAAGTAAAAATGACTTCTCACCTCTATTCCGATTGTATTGTGAATTTATGTTAAATCCCTCCAACAAATTGTTGTGATCACTTGGATCATCCCAAGTGAATAAGTCGTCTAGAATTGAGACTTCGGTTTGAAGTTGCGAAAAGCTGCTGTCTTTACTCGCTTTCTGTGCAAAATGATACAGCATGTACCTGGAAATATTGGTTAACATTATTAGACGAGCTTGTGGAAAAAATGCAATTTAGTAGCTTACCAAACGTTCGTTTGTCTAAGAACCCACGCTAAGGCAGTTTTTCCCACCTTTGCACCCACGTGGTCTTCTCCTAACATCATGTCGGCATTGAAAATGGTAAACCTCTTTTGCAGAGGAATTGGAGATGAACAAATCCTACTTATCCGTTTGGTGGATATGGATTATCTGCAATTAGAGAAAAGAGGAAAATATATATTAGCTGGTTAAATTTTACAGTATTTTATATCATTTAATTACAGAAATAATTAGCTAGTTTTGCATGAATTGAATGAGAATGAAAAAAATGAGAAAAACACTAAGGAAATGGTTTACTACTTGAAGTAACCAAACATTTCCCCAGTGCTGAAACCATTTTTTTTGTTGCCTCTGGTCTTTTAATGTATGTATAACTAGCAAACGATAATAAATGTTAGTTTAATCGAATAAACTTTCACAACGTTTTTTAACTTTTTATATTTTTTTGAACATAAAAATCAACAACAATAAAAAATTTTGCTTGTTCAGTATATTAATTTAGTAGTTTTTTTAAAACTGTATTAATTATAATTTAAAAAGGTATTTTTGGAAACCGCCACATCAGTTAATTATAGCTGTTTTATCATTGCAATTGAAATATCGTGTGGTTTGGGTGGTGTTAAATCTAGAAAAGGTCAAGTCGAAAAAGTGAAAAATCACATTTAATCATTTTACTTCCGACCTCAGCTTTTATTTCCGGCAAGCAAGGAACTAATTAGGTGCGAATTTATTCCGATTAGCCGCTGGCGTAGGTAGATGTCTGAAGGTTAATACATGGGAATTTTAACGTATAGTATTTAATGTGTTTGTTTCACAGTGGAACCCAAAAATGCTCAAAATCACCGTTATGCATAATTTTATAGAAAAGTAGCTCGTCATTCCGGTCTTTTAGTCGAAATCATTTTCATTAATATCTTCTACTTATAATTCTACTGATGCCTTGTTTATTTATAATAATTATATCAAATTTCAACCATTCAATTATCATATTGCTATCAAATCGCCTATCTATCACCTGTAGCTATCATTCATGTTTGTACGTTAAATCACTTATTATCATTATAATAATAGTAATAAATCATTGTTAAAATCTATAATTTCATCATGATCCATTTTTGTTTGGCTAAACATAGACAATTTTACATTTTATTAGAAACTAAACGTTTTGGGTCGCTTGCACACTTGCTTATTAATAATTACTCAATCTTGCAATAAGTTGCCATAATCCCATACGAAACAAGTACCGTTCTCAATTGCAATGATTGCATCAATTTCTGTGGTTTTAGGTAGGTTTAATGACCGAATATGTATGCTAACAATATGCATTTTATTTTGTAATGTTTAAATTTTAATACTATTTATACAGTTCTAATCTGTTTCCAACAGTATGTCAATTTTGATTTTATTAATTGTCCTGTCGAGGTCGAACCAAAATTTAGCCTGAAATGACGAGGAATGCGCAACGGATAATGAAAATTGAATGAAATAAAATTGTTGATATATTAGCAAGCGATTAGAAAAACGGACACAAAAAAGCTGTTTCCAAAATTCAGTTCAATTGTATGTTTTTAGACCGATTTATTCATCATTTTGAGCTGGCACTTTTTTCTACCAAAGTGGTGACATGCTGCGTGTCTCTTCAAATCTCTTGAAATTTCCAAGATGTATTCTATTGTCGGTTAATGACGGGGACGATGGTGCGTATGATGGATCATGCCGAGTAAACTCGGGTTAATAATGGTCAGCTGAAATTTAGTCGGAGGAAAATAAAAATGTTGGACGATAGGCTCGCAGTTGTGACCCTCCAAAGGCTAAAATTGTTTTCTTAAGTCCATGTCTAAATAAACGTTTTTCTGATTTTGCCATGTTTTTCAAGATGTTTCGGACTTGAAGTGACAAACGCCTATATTGCAATTTGTTAAATATAAAAAAATGGATAAACGCTTACAATAATAGCATAGTCCAGAATGGCTTCGTTTGCGAGAAGTATATGATTGCTAATTTTTGAAAAATGTTTATTAAATCACTTATGATACAACAATTACTTAGAATTCATCCAAATTTTCGAGGGGCGAACGCAGATGGTTCGTCGTTTTTGCCAATAAATCTCGCCCTATCGTTTTTTTTTGGTTTGCGAAATCTGTTGCGAAATCGATTTCATAAATGTATTCATAGTGCTTAAGCAAATATTGTTTATGGTTTCTGCAATAGTAGTAATGTACGTTCGATCAAGAATATAGAGAATCCCTCATCTTACGCAGTGAAATAGAGGCCACATATAAAAAGCGTGAAAATAACTAAGCCACCGTAGATGCTGAGGGCAATCCGAGAAAAAAAGCGCTGACATCATCACCAGGTATGCAATAACGTGGATATCGGGCCAGTGGCCATAAGATTGGACATCGTCTATATATAAGAAAGGAGACAAAGAGAACTGTTCCAATTACTGAACCTGAGCTGATTAATGATACCAGCAAAATTAAATGCTATTTGTGATACAGGAACGTCTCAAACGTTTTCCTCTTCCACAGATTCTGTCGGAACAATTGAACTTCATTTCTGAAAGAGGAAAACAGATGTGTACTCTTCTTTTTATTCTTCTCTTCAAGATTTACGATGATTGGATTAGAAAGGCAATCAGAGGAAAAAGCCAGCAAGCGTAGCAAGAACAGAACTAGCGTCAGATCACAGGCAGAAAAACATTCAATTTCCGTTACGTTCACGATAAAACTCTGTTAGTACAAAGAATCTGAAGAAGATAAAAAGTTATTTAGCTGAAAGCTCACATAACGGACAGAGGCTTAAAAGAGAAATTGGAATGGTAACAAAACTAGCTAAAATATGGAAAATATATAACCAAAGCTGCAATTGCTTCAGCTGCTTTAATTATTATGAACAATTTTTGGGCTCTCAATGTCTCTTGCCTACGGAAAATTGAGCAAAACTGACCAACTGACTCTGGGAGAACAAATGCATGAATTGTATGGAAACTAAAAATTCCAACTATGCAATGACTTATGCTAAAGTATTTTGATCATGTAAGAAAGAATATTGGGATAGAAAAGTTGATCATTCGGGGCAACTTTTTGGAGGATCACCCGATAATTAGATTTTTGTGTTTGTTGGTTTATGCTACAGCAGAAGTGTCGTCTGTAAAACGCATACTTTGGGTTTCTTCTTGTAATTTTCCGGAGCATTTCGATTCTGTTGAATAATGCACGATGGGCTAATTGTCGAACATAATTCTTTATTAGGGCCATTGAGGTTTTTTCAATTATATTGTTATATATTGATATTATATCTATTTTCTTATTCTATTATATCTCCTATTTAATTGAAGTATTGTCGAAATGCGAAAAATATTGTAGATGCCAACTACTACAAATTTGTCGCCTTCTCTGGCAGGTTTTATGTTAGCAATGCGATAAGCAGATGGAATTTGGAGAACACCCCATACACATCATACTCACTTTTATATGAATTTTTTATAAATGGAGTTGCACAAAGCAAAGTTGGAAATGGAATTCAATTTTCTTTTCCAAAATATTCGTTTTTAATAAATCAACTTCAAAATTGATACTATATAATTTTTTGAATAAAAATTACACTTTACTTATTCATTGAATGGTCCAGTTTCTGTTCTATATTTTTAGCTACGTTTTCTTACTATCCTTTTCATTCGAATTTGAATGGGTTTTTATTTTTTTGTCGCCTTGTATGACACTGTATTATTGATACTTTATAACACATCATTTTACGCTTAGCTTAACTTTTGACTGTAAATATTTTCTCGGTCGGTGATTCGATTTGAATAATGTTTGAATCGAATCATAGCCGAATTTAGAACAAAATTTAAGTTATAAGATAAGCAAAAAAATGAAATAAACATATTGTACAAGTTTTTTGGGTCGTCTATCGTCTGTTTATCTTCAGCCATTCGAGAGATATTAATTTTTTTATGACCGGTCACATTTTTCTCGACAAATTTACTTAAACTTTTTTTATTTGCGAACAATTTTCTGACAAAAAGATTGTGCAAACAACATTTCATTACAAGCTGATAGTTGCGCTCGGTTTATTTTGTCACTTTCTGTGCTGTGTTAAGTTGTTAAAGTTTTTGTTTTCCTAAGCGTTCGTTACAAAATAAGCAGAGGTTGGCAGCATTAAACTTGTAATAAAATTTTGTATGTACAACTTTCTTTCGAAAAAAAGTTTAAATACATTTTGAATGGGTCTAGATAAATAGACAATTACAGATTCAAATTACTCAGAAGACATGAGGCTTTAACAGCGTATACTTTCTTTCTGTCTTAGCTACCCGATATTGTCCGCAGACGAATTTAAACTTATTACATTGCTATTACATTTATTTTGCTTGTTGTAACTCAAATTTTGTTCAACAATACAGGCATGATTCGGCAAAATAACTGCTCAGATTCGATTACCGATTGAAAAAATATTCACAATTAAAAGTGAGCGAAGAAGATTAAAAGCAAAACGAATAGTTCTGTCTGATCTTTGTTTGTCTAAGTTCAGACATTTCTTAAATTTTGTAAAAAAATCCCGGTAAAATAACGTCACCGAATCGACGTATTAAGACAAATAGCCGTCCAATAACAGACATGCAATTGCTTCTTGGTAAAGATGGCGGGGAAATTCAACTTTGAGATTCATCACTATTCTGAGAAGACAGTGTTATTTGAATTTTTAATAATTAACTCTAGGAAGGACATTTTAAACAATCTTGCTTTTGATTCTAAATACCTGACGAGGTCAGAAAAAGCGTATCTTTGTGTAACAGTTGTGAAATCTAAGTGCCTATCAACTATTGATGTTTAGCAAACAAATACAGTTTTTTCAAGAAAAAAAAAATGATTTTGTTTCTTTTTTTTTATTGTCGAATTAATTAGACATTCATGGATGTTTTATAGAGTAAATTTTTTCATTGTTATATTATATCGATCATTTTGCCCTTCTTTCTTGGCACCTTTCCAGCTGATAAATGCAGATTATTATGAGGGCGATATCGTCAGCAAATCGTAGGCGGTTTAAATGAGTCTTTCACATGCATGCTCAATCAAGTTTGCTTTAAATATGTTTTCCAATACCAATGTAAATTATTATTATTAATTTTGTATCCTATTTGTATT